CTTCACACGCACCTAGTTAAACCAATAAGCCAAGGGAGAAGTAGCTATACTGAAAATATGTAACACCGAACCCGGAATTCGAAACTGACATAAAAGTAGGGACGGATGGAGTGCCGGAAGCGTTGCAAGCGTGCCCCAATTGTCTGTAAGGTATAAAAACCTCTAGCGGTTACAATGCTTAAAGGTGGTGGATGTTTTTGGTTTGAAGACATGAAACTATTTGCATGTGCACTCAAAGTGCGCAAGATTTGTATCCTAATACGGGGAAACATTTAACTGTCAAATATTTTTGCGGTGCGACAACACATGTAGACACCGATAATGTTCCAGTTTTACAAGACCGCGGAGACTGAAGAACAGGTGGACAACATGGTTTTCATAACGCTCATATGCTGATACTCCGCAACACGAGATAAATGGGTGCGGCGAATATAGTGAGATCCAAGCTAATCTCTCAGCCCATGGGATACAATAATGTGAAAATTCTACAGAACTAATAGTAGCATCGCGTAGGCGAGAAAGCACTTCAAGTGCAATCTGGTCGAAACAGAAAGGATAGGATGAGCACAGAGTGTAGGTGTTAAGATGAACTCCATCATGTATTGCATAGAACGAAAACGGTGGAGTTTATGCACCATAAATTCGACGTGGAGGCAGCATTTCACAATGAATGGACCGAATCACAGCAACGGGCCAGATAGCCAAGCGGACGCGCTCTGTAATTGAGCGCAAATGCAGCTGGCCACCAACGTGGCACCGCTGGTTGGCCTATAACTTCCGGCTGCATTCCAATCTGTTCGAATGCTCTTTTGCTTGACTGCATTAACATGATGGAAGCTAATCGCCTGATTGTAAGAAAACGGTATCATGGTTTGTGAATGCGGCTCAACAATAGATATTACAACTTCATGGGTGTTGCGGGCGCTTTGTTTTTCTGGATTACCCATATAGAGTAATCTGTTAAGTCTTGTAGGGCCGACTGTTACAACAAGATTGAGGACAGTATATACTAAAAGTATTTACTTGTCCAGCATAACAATGATGAGGCACTATGATCACAAGTGCAGTTAAACCATCTATTCTGAGCAGTCAAAGTGCATTGGTCACATATAATAAGAAAGTGAGCAAGGTTTGCATCGGAGAATAAGCTACCGGTTACCAAAGGAATGCCGAATAGATGGATGAAGCAGACCTTTGACTACCAGAGTTCCGTTACTTACAAAACTAAGTACGTGCGGATGCAGACAAATTTAAGTTCAAAGAAATTTCGTGTCGAGAAAGCTTGTCATATTTTCACCCATACGATGTAAAAGTTAACTGAATAGCCAAATGTTCCCGGATAGCAATAAATTATGTAGACGTAGTTAACCAGAATTCATTCGAAAGACGAAATTGATAGTTTGGAAGAAAAGGTTGCCACTAATAACTGGGCCTGAAGGTAGAATATAGCATTAGTAGGACAAGTGCTGACACTACCGCCTTCGTTTCACAGTTATGGTTGCGAAATTTTGATCGCAGTGACCACAGCAGCGAATAACGGGTGGCTTGTGAGGGCCGCAACGGTGGTATGAGGATAATTTTAACGAGTGGTAGGTCGGAACTAAGTGTTTACTGATAAGTAGACTCCAAAGAATAAATATGCGGATGGACAGCGATGTTGAAGATCAGTGCCCCGTTATCCTCTTGGATGGCCGTTTGGAAGCATGCTCGAGGGACGTAACATCACAAGTGCAAACTAGCTGATAAACGGCAAAGAAATCAAGTAGAAGCAGAAGTCCATCTCCCTAGAGCTGGATACGGATGGAGAACGATTAAATGACCAGCTGTTTAGTACCCCTGCCTCACTGAGATATACACAAATCAAAAACATGTCTCCATTGAGAAGACATGGAAGAGAAACATCTTTATTGTGGCTATTATTACCGCCTGGACAGAATATCGAGTGACGATTGGCCCCGGGGTCGGATTGCATTCTAGGTATCGCTGAAGCATCGGTCGGTAGCCGATGCCCGACTCGTAATCAGCAGGTTACCGGTCCGAATCCGAAAAGGAGCGGGAGTGTTCATGGTATATCCAGTCCACACGCCACTAGTGGTTGTCGCGTGTCAGTGAAACGTCAGTACGATGTGCCGGCATGCAGCATTGCCCCTGACATCATCGTCCGAAATGAGGCTTCGAGTTGAACAACTTTCGTTGGTATTGCTGCTGAAACAAGAATGCTTTGCCTGTATTGTTGCCAGTGATGTTAAGGAGTGTGATGCAACGTTCGTCAAGTCACTTCATCTGGCAAATTTCCCGATCAGACAACACGCACAACTTGAGGTTGCCTATACAAACAAAATTCGTTTGTTTTAAACTTAAAACCGTGCACCACTAAGTAACTCGGACCATTGTATTCTAAAGATTTGCCCTACCACCTACAGTAAAACTATGTCGCATTGAGGAAACGACAATTCGGGACGATTCGACGACGCAATTGCTTGGCGGAAAATATCGCACGACTTCAAACCGCTTTTTTCTACCGATTTTTCAGATGAAGATACATCGCTTCAATCGATCATCTCACAAGTTACGTAAAATTTGGCTTCCATCTATACTGCCCTTAACGAAGCGATCTATCTGCGAGCAGATAGATTGCCTTCCCGCCTGATAAACGACTTCGTAGGAAAAATGAACGTACTTATACAAAATGACATTACTCATCAAAATATGACTGGCAAATAAAGCTGAAATAACAAAGTTAGACAGTTTATACATTGAAACGGCACTGAGAAACCGTAGCTACCAGGATCTCTGGAGGCCGTTGAAGCAAATCGGCGGTAAAAGTATCATCGGTTGTACTGGAGCAGTGAATGTGGACAAACTCAACTCTGAGTTCAGTTCCTATCCGTTGAGTGATTTTCGATTACCCTTCTGCACTAGTTCAGGCCAAGCCGCCCTATTTGAGCAATGTGACATCAACAGGGGACTCAAGCAGCTAAATTCAAATAAATCTTGTGGCCCTGGTGGTTTATTACCTGTGATTTTGAAGCAGTGCGCTGATTCCCTCACCTTACTCCTGACTGATATGTTAACAAGTGTCTCAAGACCGGTGTCACCGACATCTAGAAGTCAGTTAGAATAAGGCTAGTTCCTTAAAAAGAATCGCAGAAGTATCGGCCAATTGCTGGTACTTCTGTGCTCTTAAAAGTCCTCGAAAAGCTACTAGTTCCAAAGATTTCGACAGGCACTGGTGCTAATGATGTCTACCAGTCTGCGTTTAGACCTCAGCGCTATACGCTAGATGCTATCTCGTATGTCGTGCATTCAATAGTCTCTGCGTTGGATAAAACGTGCAGGTCCGTACGAATCCTTTTTTGACTATTCAAATGGGTTCGGGAGTCTTGACTGATCAGTTCTGCTTAACCTACTTTATTTAAACGGAGTCCACCCTAATGTTTTCAACTTGTTGCGTGACTATTTTACTGATCGCATGCACTTTACCAAGTTAAAGGGCAAAAGCTCATTGATGCTCCGTGATGACTGGTGTTTTGCACGGCGCGATTCTCTCACCCTTTTTATTCTCTTTATATATCGAAGGTCCCCATAGCATCAATATTCAATGGGTGTAAGTATGCTGACGATGTTGTCTTGGGGCGCACGGCTCGCTCCATTGAGATGTCCACCCTTCAATTTGGTTTAGACGAAATTGCGAGTTGGTCATTAATCAGGTCCTTTAACTGTAATGCTCTGAAATGTACTAAGGTAACATTTCCAATTCTCCGCCCTGAGAAATTGCGAGCAATCTTGTATGCTTCTTCTTTAGAAACTTTGGAGGACAAAATCATAGTTATTTCACCCAGCCTGTTTTTCCCAAAATCTCTTGATCCATGCACGTTTTGGAGATATTTCACAAGAACAGGTTGTCTTTTATGCTCTACGACATAAGAAATTCACTGCACTGCGAAGTTTAATTTTGAGATTTGTAACCGGTTTTACTGTTTCCCAGTAATTTTCCCTGGACTAAGTTTTGATTGCGCGATCGAATAAACATATTTCCAGATGTAATGGCTTGTCGAGAGATTCGATAGTTGATTTTATTGCCCGTAAGCATTTCGACGCTTGCATAAATTTTGTTCTATGATTCTAAGTGACCACCTCCATCCGCTACATAATCCTCTCTCGCATACGCTCAAAACTTAGGATTTTATTTTCCCGCACCTCTTCGTATCTTAACACAATTGTGTCTTAGTTGTCATGCTTTCTTGTCGATCCTAAGTCATAAACGCTTTACTCATGCGGCTCCTTGCCTATTGAATTCCTCAATTTGTATTTTTAATTAGTCCCACTTATTTAATGAATCAGCAGTGATGGTGCACCCACTTAGGTGTATAAAGTCTATTTTGACCTCACTTACTAAATCGTACATGTTGGCAACACGATGGTGTGAACTTAGTTCCGCTCGCAGTTCATAGATGTAAGACCGGTAAAACACTATACCTTTTCTCAGTCAATTAAATCCATAGCACTATCAAATGCCTACTTAAAGAAATAATGTTCCTCCATAGATCTTTCAAGATGGTCCACAACGCTTTCAAGTTGAATCCAGCGGGTACACCCACCCCTACATGCTACGGTCCATTGAGAGAGTAAAGCAAAAGCAGACGATATCATTCCATTCGGTGTGCTCCTATGTTATACTATCTGGTTATGTGAGATTGGTCACTCAACGAACAGCAAGTAATTTCTAGGAGTGTTTGCACCCGTTGGATACAACTTTAAAGCGTTTTGGACCACTTTCAAAGATAATATGATGGAATATGATTTCCTTAAGGAGGAATTCGATAGCGTTATGGCTTCAATTGGCTGAGAAAAGGTATTGTAATGGTCAAGTCGGGTAGCATTACAGAAAGCCTTCTGGTCGCAGTAACAAGACCAGAAAAGCCGACACACAGTCCTTCGCAACCCCGAAAGTGAACTTTGTCGGTGAGTGCTCGCTTTCGGAGACCACGAAACCTGAGTCCTGGTGCATTCCAAATAAGTGATCACTTTCGGGAGCGGTAGCATCATACGGTAGTTTACGACAATGAATAGATCATGGAATGTACAAGGAGAAAGAAATATCACAAGTGTTCCATAATCAAAAGTAGGTGGTGCGACAGCTCAACAAATAAAACATTTAAGTGAAAAAAGTTGCACAAATCATAAAGAAGCATCACAATTGCCGCATTTTGGACATAAGTGCAGCCAAACTATCTTCAACAATCGGCACCGAGGCAAGTCCGTTCGCAAAAGATTCAGATTGCGCATCCTCCACCTCATACAGTGTGCGGACGCCATTAACAAGCTGATTAGCAGAGGGGGCTACGAATGTCGTAGACTCCGGATCGGATTCCACTTCGATCCCAAATTCATTTTCCACTTGTGTTTGTTTCGGTTGGTGAGACTTAGCCAACTGCTTGGACGCCTCCGCTCGCAACTGTTCTTCGTTCCAAGCACTATCCAAGGGCAAGTCGAGAGACTTTAGCTGACTACGCCTCTCCGCTTGTCGACGCCGACACCAGTCGTCAGCGCAGTGGGGGTTTGGCCGAAGGGGAACACGGTAAAAAGAGTCCTTGGCAGCCCCGTAGCCCAGGTAACTGGAAACCTGTAAACAAATATCGAGGTTGCTATCTGGTGAAACTGCAAAAAGTGTGGCATCGTGAAACGAAGATGTTAATGTGGACGAGATGGAAACATTAGGAGAAGTAAGGTTCAAAGACTACAGCCAGTTAATCAATTTGTTAAACATGCAATATTGTGCAGGAAACCCAAGGCCAAAAAAACTTCAAGTTGGGCTTTCATCTAGGAAGTACATAGGAACGAATAGCGTCAAGATAGTCGTTTTTCGAAGGGTTGCCCGGGAAATAATTTGGAAGCGAATATTCAGCAGAGGACACAAAGGTAGGTTCACTCAGGGAAGGGAGCGTGGAAAATGCAGGCGCCAGCATCAACATAATCAACAACAGTACATCAGCCATCTGAACTGATGCGTCGCTGCTGCACAACGACAATGATTTGCGGAACGAAGAATAATAAGGGGAAACAAGAAGAACCTAGCATAAAACCCTTATACCATAAGCAAAAATTCAGGGTCAAGGCGCGTACACGTTGTCAACAACATACCAGCATAAACAGCTGGCTATCGTGCAAAGATGAGGCGGCATTTGCGAGACAGCTTCTTTGCAGCTTTCACTGCCCCGTGTCGTAATCAGCCTTTACCCCGCAGATAACCCAGCACCAGACACACAACAGGCAGTCCGAGAAGAACACAATACCAGACGTGCCATTGTGGTCGACTACGAGCCATGTCCTGTAACTGCACGAGCCAAGAAAAAAGCCGGGTAACGTGGACTCCAGACTGGATAGCGAAACAGATCAACAGCAACCAGTTTGGCAGTCAGTGAATCCATTCTCCGCTATTAACAGTTGACCAGCTTAAGCTTCGTACTGCCCAACGTCAGACAAACAAAACAAGATTATCTTCGACAAGCGGTGACCAGGCATATGTAGTACGTGCCTAAGACAATATAACCCAAATAATAATAATAATGATAATAATAATGATAAAAATAATAAGGTATATTTTTCGTGGCACTGGAAACTGATCCCACAAAGGGACGGATCATATTTACCTTGCAAGATGCTCAGGCATGCGAGGCTGTCAATGGTTCGGGTATTTTCAGTGTTATGACAAGGATGTTTTTGAGAATATTGGTTAGCGGCAACCAATTACTCCAGTCTATGAAGTAAGATTGTGTATTACTCATCTGATTTTGACTGGTGCATCGAACTGCTTCATTCTTTTCATACTCCCTCACCTTCCCATCAAATCGCCGCTATTATGGCATCACCAAGCTGCACCGAAAACAATCAAATGAGAATACCCGTGAACTGGTAGCATACGGAGATAAAAGTCCCAAATGAAATGGATTAATACAGTTGGAGCCATTTGTGAGTAGCAAGTTAAGGAGTTGCGAAAATAAGAAAAAAACTATATTAAGGTAACTCCAGTGGATCATCATATTCAAGTTGCTTTATCAGAATAATTTAGGCAGTATTCACATTGTAGAGAATAATAATAGTAATGTGTCAGCTGTACGCTGTAACGGCGCTTCGCTGCCGCGAGACCACCACCAGTCGCGCGCGGGCTGAGTATACCGCGAGGACGCCCACTCCTACGCGGATTAGAACCGGTGATCTTATGGTTGCAAAGCGAACGTTCACATCGTTGGGTATTAAGGAATAGAGTGGTGTCCTTAGTCTAACTATGGAGTTGAACTAATCAAGTTGTGTTTTGGGCTGCCGGAAGGTTGAGATGCTGGGTGAGCTCGGTTGCATTCCTTTCAGCCTTTACTTGTAGGTGGATATAATGGCAGCGGCCGAGGCAATCGGTATCAGGCTTTATGACCCTGACCTATGTGCGCACAAGGAATTTGTCCAGGCACTAACTCTACCCTGGTCCCCTGTAACACGGAGACATGGTGTGGACAACGCCACACACACTCTTGATCACTTAGCTTCGTAACTCAGACCATCTGGGTTTTGAACCTGCGCCCATATGTGATGTTTACGTTTGTCATTCATTTGTGGTGTATTAGCCTGATGAGGAACCACTGAAAACGAGCTTATTCGCTAATATTTGCTCTGCTGTTTTACAGAAATGGACGCCATGCCATTCCCAACCCCAACCTGGAGGACCAAGAGAGTGCGTTTGTCTGACTCCTAAGCATTGATCAACCTGGTTCTCCAGGAACACCACCCAGCACGGCTTAATAAGTCGAAGAGGTACACAAACCGTCGCACGGAGTCAAGGTCCAGTCTCGCTGCGATCGGAGAATGCGTGCGTGAGCCAAAGTAACTGCGAATCAATCTGGTGCGCACCATTACAACGTGACGAGTACCAGTTTCATGAAGCTCGGACGCTGTCATGTGCACAAGGAAGCGGTATCTCAGCATACGACATAAATTTGCGGTGAAAAAATGAGATTTACCTCACCGAAATTCAGTAGCCATTTCAACGTGTTTTGCACCAACAGGCTGGCAACCAATCCCATGGTGGTAGGCAGCGAAGCAGAGCACACTCCATCGCGCTTCAGAGTCTTCTCATCCAAGCCACTGGCGACGATTAGGGGAGGGAGGCATTCGAAACAAGGTGTCCTACCTGGATACAACAGCTGGATGTGACAGCTGATAGCATCTTCACTGACTCCAGACTCGAACCAAACCTGAAGAAAGAATAGCAAACTAGGTAAAGGTTGATAATAACTATATGAGAAAGGTTACATGATTGTTGTGACAAGTAACCTAGACGATAGAAACTAGTGAAACTATGTAATTAGAAGTGTACACTCAGAGAATGAAGTGATGAGAACCGCTTTGCGGTGTTAATCGGCAGTGACAAAACGCATTACTGCTTTTATCATTACAAGATAAGGGTGACAGATTCTCATCTAGTTTGAAGTAATCAGTTCCCTAAAACAACTGGAAAAGCACAGTGAGAAGAGGAAACTAGGCAGATGTATTCGTTTTGTATCGTCTCTTCAGTGTGGAAAACGATAATTGGGGACAAAATACAGCTGTCCATTGATGCAAACTTGCTAACTGAACGGAGTTTCGTTCGAGTGAACTGATCCTAACAGTTGTAAAGATATACGCACCCAAAACAATCGGCTTACGGTGGACTAGAGTATCCAACTACAGGGAAAACTGAACCTTTAGGTGATATGACAGAGGAACTCCAGTAGTACTGGGGGATTTTGAATGCATTAGAGGTTAAGCATGCGAGACTGGACAGACGTTAGACAAACCAACTAAAAGTTCGACACCACAAAGAATGAAAATGGATCGAAGGTAACGCGACGCGAGGAAAATTGTGTGCGCTACGGAAAAGCAAATGTCTGAGGACTACCTCTACCCCTTAAATCATAAAGAATCATATTCAGGCTGCATAGCCTAGAGTAAGACTGTCAGATAACCGTGTCCAATCACGTGCATTGTAAAGCTGTGGTAATCCATTACAATCTCTCATGAGAACGAAAGGCAGCTTGTGGCAGCCAAACTGCACGGGCGCCAGTTCACATATAACATTTCAGGCTGGAGAGTGACTAAACAGTAGTGCTACGCTCATTACATCAGTGTGACGTAACGGAGGCTTAAGTATACATAAAGACGGAAAAACATCCAACCGCCATGCAACAGACACAGATGCAGCTCCGAAGTGCAGTTAGGACTATAGAAGAGATAAGAGACAAGCACTGCACGTTGAATACGCTGAGTGAACACCTTGTTTTGACTGATGATGAACAGGAATAATCATTGATACATACGCAGAACAGCACTGCTATGCGCTTGGCAGCGGATTCCACTAAAGTCTTGCGGGCGGATGTTACTCTCGGGATGATCATTCCGAGAGGGGCACTGTTGAAAGTATCTACCTAAGGCCATTATCCCAACAGCTTAGCTCTCAAGGCAGTGGGGAGGATACTGAACTGAGAAAAATGAATACAGAGTACAGTCGAGATCCGAAGAGTCCCCGTTACACGCAGCCTTGGAATTTCTAAAATGAACCATGTGCTTTCGTGGTAAATTACTTACCTAAAAGCACAAAAAGCCAACCGCGCGTGGGTATAGATAGGTGTATACCATATTTACTGGAAGTTGTCTGGCTTGAGGATCGCAGGAGGAAACCATCGAGCACGGGTGGTGCTCTTTCACCGTTATAGACAACGCATGAAGCTCATATTCTATGCCAATTGGACTGAGCTTATGGTTCGTATCCTGTTGCCTCCCATGCATAAGTTTCGAAAGAAGATGGAGGGGACCTATCCCAAATCTACCAAAGGAGAGAAGGCTGAAAAGGAACTTGTCAAGTCCCTAACCAGTGGGAAGAGGGGCTATGAAAGCACATGGCTAGTCACTCCACCGTTGCTCCCAGGAGAGCGCAAGCCATCGCAAGACGCTAAGGCCTATTCTGGTTACAATGGCATTACTGGAAGTGGTGGGTCGGTTCAGTTACCTTGGCAACTGTGTCACCTCTTGTGGTCATCTCACGGAAGTTAGTTCGTGTATCAGCGAAGCGTGTTGCTTTCTTAGGTTTCAACTATTTAAAGAGAAGGCGATATACCATACTGCCAGTAAGAGCCGGCTGTACAGTGTTGTGACAAGGCCGGTGTTACTGTGTAGCTAAGAGACCAGACCACTTCACACTTGCGACACTGAAAGATTAGCCATCTTCGCTCACCGGCACTTGCTTACATCTGGTGAGAACAAAGGGTGGGCAATCAATAAGTCCGCCAGTTGCTGTTTGAAAGAGAACTCTTTTCGTTCCACACTGGAGTGTCCGTTAAAATTGGTTAGGTCGAGTCGACCATATGCTCACAGGCAATCTTCCTTAACGTCCATTATACGCTGTCGCTGCAGCTAGTAGGTGCAAAACCGCGAGGTGACCAGTGGACGACGTAATAAAATGGCCTGTAAAAACTGACTAAGTGATGTGATCATGGCTGGCTGATATGTGCCATCTTCGTGGCTCTGGAGAGGCCACAGTAGTAGTGTGAAACCTTGTCTAACATAATGCGGTCATAAAATCCAGGGATGCAGCTACATCTTGCTGCTTCCCACATCTAGTTGTAAATGTTCCATTCATTTATTCACATTTTAGCCCATCTTTGTATTCGAGTTGCGTCCTACTTCATTTTTTAATCACTGATGGTTATTGTTGCCCTGGAAACACGAGGCGTCGCAATTGCATCACCGGTATTACAGTGCCTGTATGTATTCACAGTCCTTTAACAGACATTGTGCCATCAGAATCACTGAAGAAGAAAAAAGTGGAGGAAATAGAAACACAAAATACGATAATAAAAAAAGGAAAACGATTTTGTTGGTTTTATACACGCCATTTTGATATTTTTGTTTTTGTTTCGTGAGTTTTTATGTGCATTAAAGGGGAGATGAAATGGCAGAATAACATTGACACCACTGATGTCTCTTACGGGCCATGACGTCCAATGTTTCCAACCACTGAGATTCAGCATCTCGTGGACCCCAACCTGAAAGACGGAATGGTCCGACTGCCACCAAACTTGCAGTTGCCTTCTTCATGCTCCTTCTTCACGTCATTGGCTATCCACCGCAGCACTTTTTCCAAACGCTCCCTGGGAGTGCAAATAGCGCTCGACGTGGAAGGCGATGGGTCGGCATGCGCAAAACGTGCCCGAGCGAACGCATGCGATGTCGGAGAATAAGGTTCTGAAGAGTGGCACTACTCGCTCCAAGCACGCGGTCTCGTACCTCTGCGCTGCTTACGTGGTATTGCCACCACACTTGAGCAATCCTTCGTAGACAGCGATTGCTGAAGACTGACGGCCGCTTCATGTCTTCCGAAGAATAGGCCAAGTTCCACAGCCGTACAAGAGTATTGCATGGACGGAAGTATTGTACACCCTGCCCTTGAGCTCGAGACTGACATCACAACGACGCCATAGGTGTCTCAGTTCGATGAATGCAAGACGGGCCTTTGCAATCCGTTGTGAGAGTTTATCTCCAACACCGCCACCAGCCGTGGTGCAACTCCCTAGATAAGTAAAGTAACGGGCTTGCTCCAGAACATGTCCAGCAATGGTGAGCGCGGGTTCAGACACCTACCAGTCCTGCAGCAGCGTTTTACATTTTCCTGGAGTGAAGCATAAGCCGTACTTAGATGCCTCCATCGCTAAGTGGTCCAAAGCGCTCTGGACGGTTTGTGAATCGTCCCCCAGCAAGGCGATATCATCGGCGTAGTCCAAGCCCGTGACTCTGTCTCCAGGGAGGAGCTCAACACCGCAGTTCTGGATACCTTCCAGTACTCCTTGGACGACATCTACGATGGCAAAATTGAAGAGGAAAGGTAAAATAGGGCAACCTTGGTGAAGACCGCTGGTCACAGCAAACGAAGAAGAGAGCGTGCCGTAAGCCCTGACTTTACTGAAGAAAGGTGTGCCCGACAAGTTTGTAACCATTCTGAAAGAACTTTACAGTCACATGTCTTTGCAAAGGCAGGTCTATCTACTGAATCAAATGCCGCTCGGATGTCCAAGAACACTAGGATTTTTGGCCGCCGGTGGATGTGACGGAGTTCGAGAAGTTGGCGGAGCGTGAAGATTTGGTCGATGCAGCCGCGGTCTGGATGAAATCCGACTTGTTCTTCTAGGGAAAACTCTCTAGTCGTTGAAATTCTGCGAAGTAGGACAGACAAGAAGATTTTGGATGTGACAAAGATTAACGAGATTCCGCGGTAGTTGCAGCAATCGTCGCGGGAGGCTTTATTGTGAATCGGAACAATGACCGATTCTCCACATGAGTTCGGAACCTTCTCTTCAGTCCAAACATTCGTGAACAGCGATAGGATTTCGCTGACAAGTACATGCCAGCCATCTTTGAATAGAGCCAGTGGTAGGCTGTCGGGAACAAGAGCCTTGTGTCGTTTCGAAGATTGGATTGCATCTCGGATCCCTACTTCAGTTGGGGGGCCTGTGGATACAGACCAAGCATCATCGGTTGGGGCAGGAGGTGCCACATGGTGCTGTGTTGGGTGGTTGAATTGAAGAGGGAAATGCTCTGCCCAGCGACCCAATCGTCTGTGAAGGTTGGTGATCTTCGTGCCGTCTGATTAGCAAATCGTCTCGCTGATAGCGTGGGAATTGCAACCGGTGATCCTGATGATGCAAAACAGACGGCGGTAGTTGCCAGCTGATGCAGCGGTTTCCATCTCATCAGCTTGTTTTGACCATCAAGATTCACGATCAGAGCGGTTTGCTTTCAGCTGTTGCGTAGTAGACCGGCGGTGCTCGTTGTGCACTGCGCCAGCAGGCACCGCCCGTCGGCGATAAAGCGATTCCGAGATCCAGCTTTTGGGAGCGGAGCGAGCGAGGCCACAGCTGGGCAAACCGGCGGATAGCATAGGTTGTTGCAGACTTGACCAATGTTGATCAACATCCAGAGTGGGAGAGAGAGCGAGATTCTCACGAAGCCATTGTTGATACTCCTTTTTCACCATTGGGTCCTCCAACTTGTAGGAGTTCAGTCGGGTGTGTCTGGACCTAGTTGAACCATCAAAACGCATGCAAACGGTCGCAGATACCAGTGCATGATCGGTATCGACGCATGTTGACCAAAATGATCGGCAGTTGCGTACGCTGCCGCGCCACCTGCGACTTATAGCTATGTGGTCAATCTGTGACCAGCGCTGGGTTGATGATGGGGGGCGCCCAGTGGCGTACTGGCGTCCAGGATGATGAAAGCTCGTACTGGAGAGGAAAAGCTGATGATCAGCACACAGACTGAGCAGTCTCTCTCCGTTGTCTGAGCAAACATCATCATATCTACGCAGTCCCCCGAGGTAACGCTCACATGGCAGCAGCCGACCGACACGCAGGTTGAAGTCTCTTGCCAAAACAACGGTGTCTGTTTTATGAGCCCTTAGGAGCAGCTCATGAACGTTCTGGTAGAAGTGGTCTTTGACTGTACCCGAGCTTTAGTCAGTGGGCGCGTAGGCAGAGATCATGAAGAGAGCACGCTTTTCGACTCGACGTCTGCTAACTTTACAAGATCCATGAAGCCTCACCGCACAAAGCGACTACTGATCGGAATCCAATCAATCAGAGTAATCTCGGCTCTAGCACTAAGGGCGATTCCAACACCAGCTTGCCCAGATGCGGCAGACTAGGTGTCACCAGAGGCGGACATGGAAGCGGGTACGTGGGTGGAGCGGTGACGACAGCTGGTAGAACGAGTTATAGTCCTGGAATCGCGTTTCACTCAGCCAGCAGATTTCAATTCCAAGGGTATCTAGCGCGCGTGCAAGTCCATCTTGCTGACCGATCTGCAATAATGTGCGTATGTAGAAGGCTGCAAGTCTGAACGGCGTTCCAGGTTGCAGGAGCGAAGATGGGAGACTTCGGGACTGGCAGCCTTCTATTAAGCACTGTGTGGTTGAGTTGGCAGATGTCACGGGAACAAGTTCATCGGTGTAGATGGGGTTGATCGTCATAGAGGAGTCAGGCAAAAATGGGTGTGAATGGTATAAGGGAAGGGTAGGTAAAATGGTGGTGTGCGCTGGTGAAGTTGGCATAGTAGCATGAGTGAACAGCATGGTAGCAGCAAGAGAGCGTGTGAATGGTTGTAACTGTAAGTCCATGATTCCTCAGTAGGCTAGATACTACCCGGTTGCCTAGGCCGAGGTAGACAGGTTGTCTTAGGGGAGCACCGCCCCGATCCTTTGGCCAAAGGGCCTAACCCACAAGGCAGCAGGGCGAGATGAGGGATTCGCACCCGTTGGGAGCCGGTGACTGGACACTCAGTTCATACGCCTTTCGGATGACGATAAGCCATGCCAGGGGCTCAACACTCCTGAAGTCATATACAAGACCCGATGCTCGGATTGCTTGCCGGTGTACAATGTCATCAAAGGAGACAAGGGGACGTGAATTTATTTATTAGCAAGTCACATCCTCCATGTTGCAGTGTTGTTAAACAGACATTTGTGGGTTTTTACAAGGAGAACACTTGCCAGGCGAAAACCCACCACGTCTTGGAACACTACAGCCGAAGCATTCGCCAGAATTGGAAATTCCCGAACCGCCCAGTTGGCACCAAGAGGAGGTTGTTCGGCGAGCCAGCCCCAATGTCTGTCTCATAGTTGTTTAACTGACCTGAGCGACAGATTCGCTAGCGCCTCAGTGAGAGCCAGATAAATGAATAAGTACGGTAACGCTGTCGACGGTCTGACGCTGTGCTTTGTCAGTGGTGGGTGTGCGCACGGCTGAGACATTCCCAGGTGGACAAGGAGTGATACGACGAACGGACTCAGTAAAATTAGCCCCATACGCCATCTCACGGTGCACCGCAAATTGGCAGGTGCTCACATGGTGAATTCCATCGGAGGAGAGACTTCACTGTTGATCGAGTTTGTCAGTGGAAATTCGGGTAATAAAAAGAGCAAAGCTCATACAAGCATGAAGCTATTACAGATCCAACGGTACATAGGCAGTGTCCAAGTTGTAGATCGAGTAAACTCACGCCGGCCTGTGGCCGAAAGAATCACAAGCCTGTCTTGTAATTCGGAGGTCGCGGGTTTGAGCCTGCGCAAAAGACCAGGCAATCTTCGCAGTGTCCTTAGCTCACGCGTGACTGGTGGCGGTTGTGTGGCAGCAAAGCGTCGGTACCGCGTAGCTGAGTACTGCGTGTCTTTTTTTTCTGTTTTTTATACAGTCGGGTTATTGTTTCGTAATAGACTGGGCATGCATTACATAGGCGGTGAATTGTGACTCGTTTAACCTTTCGATTAGTGCAGGCACTCGACAACCCAAAAATGATTAATGGGATGACATGCACTACGAGCGAAATCACTAAGTCGGCAGTACCTAGACACATAAACGAATGTAGCAAATAGTGAAGAACGTAAACTATTGCCAAGAGGTGTTTTAGAGAAACGCAGATCGTTAGCGGAAGTGACTGACTTGATTTAGCGCATTGCATGCTTTGTTAATAGTCATACGAGCCTCAAAGTTATCCACGCAGCTGAGGACTAGGTCTACCGGATCTCCAGACTTCATCCCACCGTGCTGGATGCGGCTCAGAAAGTGATCATAATTGTCCACCAAGGTGATATCATAGTTGTGAGCTTCGATATCAACATCCGGATTAATGAAACTGAGTGTAGCTGAAGCAGCAGAGACTTTGCTCAAACCAGATTGGAAGGGCTGAAAGTAGAGACACAATGAGAGAAACCGATAGCGAGATGATCAAAGATTTTATCTGTTGCAGCTTCATCCATGAGACCAGTAAAAGTGTAATAAACCAAGAGGACACAGAGGTTGTCTTAAGCAAAAGCAAAAAATCAGTCATTCGGAACAGAACAAAAAGGAAGCGAAGGCGGACTAAGGGTGAGTCAAAGTGAATGCAACAAATTAGACGAAAGTCATTTTCAGAGTGCATATGCACACCGTAAAGTCGTTGGTACCCGACTCCGTTGGATGATTTTCATCCAGTCCCAAGTGTTTGCTCATGTTGGTGTTGAGCAGTGACCGCCTGGATTGACTAATGGGATCGCGTGTTGAAACTTCGAGGCAGTTGCTTTGCAGCTACCAAGTCCGGTCTTGCGGGTGGCTGAATTCTGCAGTGTGCAGATGCCTTGAAGCAAGCTATTCCCCTTCTTAGATACATGCGTATAAAAACCGGCGAAATGCCTTGCGCCACAGATGACCAAATTGGCCGCAAAAAAACAACGTAGATAAGTTAAAACTGTTAGTCCATTCGGGTGAAGCACATTTACCATCTTAGAACGTATGCAAAGGGCTACTTGGTTAAGTTCTCAAAATCGACGCGGGTTGTGAAGATGGGCTAGGTATGATCAGCCATGATAATGTATTTATCAGTAGAAAGAAAATCGCTCGGGACAAGCGGCCGATCACCGATACGGGGACCAAAGCATGGCTAGTGAGCCGTCACTTTCTCACATGGATTGGACGGACATGTAGCCAACTGAGTGAAAACAGGTCAATTAGCACGACAGCGGCATTGTTTGATTGATCGTAAGTTGATTCTTCTACATGGTTCGAAGTGAGCTTTATATACCGTTCACGCACGTTCCATTTGATCTTTATATTGGACGATATGATTAGCCAATGTATCACTCTTCCTCTCCGCTTACCCGAAACCGATCTTTTCACTTCCTTGCAGGGGACAAGTGACATGGAATCCCGAACAAATAATCAACCGTTAAACCAGTCGAGGGACGACCACTACAGTCACCAAACAGCCGATATAAATGAGCAAGTTTGGAATGAATAACCGCGGATGACAGTGACAAACCTGGAAGAACAACCGATTCATATTCGCCATTTCCACTTTGTCGTAGTCAAAAAGAATCAGGCGACCGATGCCGCATCGAACCAGCATCTCTGCTGTAACTGAGCCGACTCCCCCCACGCCCACAATCACCACCGTCTTCTCTCGAATACTGTTGGAGATAAAAAAGGGGAAAGGCAACTGGTAACAGCCACAAGAAAGAGTAAGATACAAACAATGGGGATTGAAAAGGATCCATTGTGGACATACAGGTTAATCCATGTCCACGAATGCCCATCGACAGGCGAAGGAATCACATATCTTAAACCGACTGTGACTAGTAACAGAAAAAAAGTGCGAACCATCACGTGCTGGATTGGGTTCCATCAAAGATCGTTGACATTAAAGGGAAGGCGTGCACTCCTGAAATTGTTGGACATCGCACGATGTTGGTAGCGGACTACGAGGTGATAGAATGGCGGAACACATGTACCCGGAACTCGGGACGACCTCATAATGGACACGTGTGTCTGTCACTAAAAAGTGCGGTATAAACAAGTCAGTAGGAAACTTTGAAGTAAAACTACGAAGTCAATGTACACCTTGACACCTGCGGTAGCTAGATCACATTTTCAAAGGCTGATAAATCGAAACTATACAGGGGCCGACATAGAAATGTTGAAGGAATAAAAGGGCATGGTTAGTAAATGACTCAAAAAGCACGGGAGAAAACAGGTATCAAGAGAGTGTGAGCACTGAGCTCTTAGTCAGATAGTAGCATAAAGAGAGCGATGTAGGAAGCTGAATACATGGTTGGCGGCATCCGGATTCGGATGTGCATGTCACTGCGGGCTCCATAGGACAGCCACAGGGCGTCTACGCCTACAGAGGGAACATGGGTAGCTTGCGTTGCACCAAGCACAGCTCCATCCACACACCCCGTATGCAGTGTAAACCCGAAGGAATAATATCGGGAGGCCTGTGGATGGGAGCCACGTTTCATCAACAGAGCCGGCCCACACTTCTTCAACATGCATCGCAGCAACATTCAGTCTGTCTAGTTTAGGAATCATGCGTACCAGACGTACACAAAGCGGTGGTTTGGCCGTAGTCCGCTCGTCCGTGCACAAAACAAGAACACGCTGCCGACGCTAACAGCTTCAATGGCCGCTTACCAATTCGAGTACGCCTGTGGCGCAACGTATGTCGATCGGAAGGAGTGGCACTTATCAAAGCGCGTCAATGAGAAACACCCATGTTGGTAGCCAATCAATCAAGGATTACTCAGCCTTGGAGCTGAGAACGATGTCCACCCCAGTTTGAGCAGTGACTACAGCACCAGCGTCTCCGGATGTATGTAACCAACAGCGAGAGAATAAGCCGGGTGCGGCTGCTTCGACAACCATGTGAGGGTCACTGATAATAGTTTCAGATACTCAACGCACGTCAATACCCAGTGTGTCTAACGTGCGTGCAAGCGCAGCCTGTTGATGCATTCATCTTAGAGTGCGAACATTAAACACCCCCAAGAAAACAAATAGCGTGGCTTTAAAAGGGTCTGTTGTTGACAAGCGTCCAGTGGATCATGCACGAACATATCTGCATATGGTATTTATCCAGCGGGACTGCCACTGCACATTTACGATTAGCGCTCCTGCTGATGTTAGCTAACTGAGAACATTGCAATTCGATTGCGACGTCATTCAAGCTCACAGGGATCGGCTACGGTCTTCGCTCCACGCTGGATCTGATAGTCCGCCAACCTCTCTAGTAAAGTTTGGTAAAGGAGATATATGGCTCTTGTTACTAAACATGTTTACCTTATCTATGAATTCGGGAATATTCCCGAATAAATGGAAACTGTTATAGAACCTAGATCTAAGAAGGGTTCAAAATTAGACAGAAAATTGGCGCCCAATTAGCCACACACCGATTATTTCGAATATAATGGAAAGATTTGTAAAAGAGAAAGATGCTATTCACTTTCTGTCATCGAATTTAATAAACCCAGCAGAATATGAGTTTTTGGAACGATGCTCATGCCAGACTTGTCAGTTAGCTTTTCTAAACAATCTGAAAAGCTTCACTGACAATGGTAAAGCATGCATTATTCTCTTTATTGATATGCAAAAGGACTTTGGCAGAGTGACGCGTGGCGGTTAACCAATTTCGAGATCGCTGATCCCTTGCAAACGTGGTACAAATCCTACATATCTGATCGTACGCAACAGGTACAATTAAGGAATCCTAAGTATTCAACACTGAAGATCAACACTGGTGTTATTCAAATTAGTGTGTTAAGTCCCTTTCTCTTCCTAATGTATAGCAATGAGATAACTAAAACAGAAAATTTCGGACACTATATATATATATATATATATATATATATATATATATATATATATATATATATATATACCTAAGATATCCGGTTTGAGCGACGCCCTAGAAAACGCTCGCATATACCTGCTGGCCTTGGAATCGTAAATGTCCTTCTCTGCGGACACGTGTAGTGTGTTGACACACAAGTGCGAACTCTCGCCAAATGCACTTGACCTTGGTGGTAAGCCCATCCCCTGTAACAATGTGGTGCACTACTAAGGAGTAGTATGGCGAAACGAGCAGGCACGAGGAACTTAGCGAATAATGGATCACCGCGGACGACAGGCGCGTAGTGCACGATTCAACTAGCCCTGAAAATGGATGGCGCTGGAGCGTTGAACCTATACCGTATCGTCATGGCAAGATGAGTGGATAGCACAAGGCGCAACGTGGAATCAAGTCGTACAGCGAGTGATGTAGGTAAATCAGTCCGACTGTTCTATGTTGAAAATGTTATACCATGTATACGTTCGTTCTCTGATACACGGTCTCTACGCACTGCCACGCCACGTTTGCCGTGACCAACCAGGCGTGGATGAAGGTCTCGTGGTCGGGACCGTTTGAGGATGGCGGTGCACGGAGATTCCTGTAGGACTTCGCGGAAGTAGTCGGGATGCAGCGAATTCGGGCGAAGCTGGTCGCGCTTCGGAGTCTACTTAAGGGACAGGCGAAGGCGATCCTGGAGGCGGCAGGAAGGGGCCCAATGGAGTTGGAATGGGCCATCGCGAAGGAAGCGTTGATCGCAAGGTTCGACAGTCCGGCCGACCGCCAGGACGCGATGTGACGGTTCAAGGCGGCCCGGCTTCGGCTAGGAGCGGATCCGGTCCATCACAGCAGCTTGTTGGATCGGGCGCTGCCAGATTTGGATGACGCACCAAGACAGCAACCGTTAGTGAAGCAGTTTCTGGATGGTACCTCCATCGATTGCAGATTGTGAACGCCATCCGGAGAACGGGTGTGGTGGAACTTGCAATAGTGGCAACTGAGTTGGTACAGGAGCCAGCGGCAGCATTGCGAATTGAAGACCGAAAAGAGAGCGTGCGATTAGACAGGTTAGAAGTTGGAGCAAATTACGCACGACATCAGCGTACTTCGAATTACCGTCAGAAGACGCGGCAGAGTGGGCGATGCTTCTTTTGCTGGAAACTGGGACAGTGGAAGCGGCAATGCACACCAAGGCGCAGTACACCCTTTATACCAAATAGTTACAAACAGCAATGTTCTCGTGTTAGAGAGTGTATACGTGGGACCCTGAACAAAGGTGTGATTGAAGCGATAGTAGAAGTGAATGGAGCAACAGAGGCAACAGGAGCCGGTCTCCCTGATCAACCAGCATGGAGTGAAATTCAATCGTGTTCCATGGTGATGAAGGCGGTCGGTGGTTACGATATACGCATAAATGGTATGGCGGAGCACGTGATTCGTATCGGGACATAAATTCAATCATCATTGTGTCGCCGGACGCGAAACAGACCATGCTGGGATCAGACGTTTTCCAAGCTAATGAAGCCATCGTCAGCTGAAATGAGGAAAGCTGGGGATGAAATATGGGGCTATACCCCTCGCTGGTAGAGAAGGATCCACCCGAGCGTGCTCAGTCGTTGCCGTTTTACACACTAGTATGGCACTGCAATCGCTCGTCCGCAAATACAAACTTCCCTCCACAGACGATTACAGCCGCTACGAGTTATGTGATTGGCTCGAACATACAGCCGTATGGGCTGCATGGACCCAGAAGTATACCAATCGACCTGGAGGCCAGGGTCAAAAGGCAGGTTCAGGATATGTTGAATGCGGGTGTAATCGAGGAGGCTCAAAGCCCGTATAACCCCAATCGTTTTGGTGAAGGCCAAGGGAAAATACTGCTTTTGCGTGGACTTCAGAAGGTTGAACGAAATCTCGCTGTCGTTTTGTCCCGGTGCCATCGGTCGCAGACATCTTCGACAAACTGCAGAATTCAAGAGATTCACAGTACTGGATTTGAGAACTGGCTACTGAGAGCTAGCGTTCAAACAGAAGGATCAGGAGAAGACCGCGTTTACAGTTGACGAGAAGCAGTACCAATTTAAAAGGGTACCGTTTGGCTTATTTGGTGCCCCATTCACTTTCCGTTGTTTGATGTCCAGCCTGCTGGATGGGTTAGAGAAGGTGGCCGTGTATGGAGACGACATCGTGATATACAGTGAATCTGAAACAGAACACTGCCATCATTTGGAACCAATGTTGCAACAGTCGGGATTACGGATAAATGGTCCTAAATCTCAAATCGGGAAAATGTTCGTGACACTGCTTGGTCACAAGGTGGGTCAAGGTGAACTTAAGTCGCTGCGGGAGAAAATATTGACAATTCGGAACACCTAAGTTCCGGACTCAAGGCGCCGTTTAAGGGCATTTTTAGGCCGCGCCGGCTACTACGGTAACTTCGTCAGGAATTTAAAGTATGGCGCCACCTTTGTGTGACCTGTCAGGAGAGGGGAAGAAATTCGCATGAACGGCAGAAACTCAGCGAGCCTTTGACGACATTCCGAAAGAAATAGGAAGGCGGGATCTTACGTTGAAACTGCCGATCGCCAGATAAACCTTCATGATGACCACAGATGCAAGTGATTTCGGGACCGATGAGGTACTGAAGCAAAGGCAGGGGACGATTGAACGCCATCGGAACGCAAATATTCAACATTAGAAAAGGAGTGTTTAGCAATTGTTTAGGCGCTAGGCAAGTGGGAGTCGTTCCTACTGGGTCAATGCTTTCACGTCGGAACAAATCACAAACCATTGAAATGGATTAAATCCTCCAAAGACCCCAGAGGCAAGTTGGCTAGGTGGGTGCTGCGCTTACAAGAATAGGAGTTCACGATATGCCACATATTAGGGACAACGGAACTGCAGATTTTTTATTGCGCCTGACGACGGTGTCAGTTGCTTGGTGCTGGAGCAGGATCCGTGGAGGTTGGCAGCTGAGCAAAGAAAGGACAGGCTCCTGAACAGGCTGATAATAGCAAGAATGACCACCAACTAACAATTTCCCGACTAGGCAGAGGCGCAGGATGGATTCTGATGGACAGATCGGATTATATATCCAAACTGCATGCAATTCTTAGACACTAGCAGATTCTTGCGCGACACCTCGCAAAATGTTAGAACTGCTCAAGAGGAGATAAATATTACGCTCATTGAAGAAACTGCGGAATTTAAACACCATAAATGCCACATTATTTGATCAGCTAACTCCAGTCGAGTCACATCCATTGTGTCTCTATAGGTTAATCAAAATTCACAAACCACAGGCCCTCTTAGGCCCGGTTAATGATATGTCTACTTCCACCACCTTCCACTTGGCCGCGAAATGGATTGCGGAATTGTTAGATCGGGTACGTAAAGCATTGTGTATTATACGTTAAAAGATTCTTTTGATTTTGTTCCACTAGCGGTACGATTGAGTGTAGATAATAAATTAATGCTATCGTAAGATGTCGAGTCACTTTTCACAAAGGTTCCATTGCTAGAAAGTGTGGATTTCATATGTGAATACATGACAGAAAACTACACAGATATTAGTATCGCAATGCTCAAATCGAGGGAACCGATCCTATGTACTTTCGATAGGCAATTCCTGTTTGGAACGATACTACTACTACAGACAGATAGATGAGGTCGCAATGGGATCCCCCCCCCCTTGGACTGTTGTTTGCTGACATTTTTCTTGCCAAGCTGGAACGTGGGCCACTACGACCAATTATCGCGTCACTTGATTTCTACTGGAGGTATGTAGATCGTACTTACATAATTTGTGATTCAAATACTGGCGTTTCCCATCTGCTAGTTCAGTTTAATAGCATGCATTCTTCGTTAAAATTTACAAGTAAAATTGAAAATGAAGGAAAGCTGGCTTCCCTGGACATACTGCTAAGGAGGCGAGAGGGTGGTTCACCCCATAGAAGCGTCTACCGGAGGTCTACCTGGATAGGCCAATAAACACATTTTCGCAGTTTTGTTCCCATGAAGTATAAAAGAAAGCTAGTTCGTTGCCTGTACTATCGTGCCAGCAAAATTTGGAGTTCAGAAACTTTGGAAAGCGAAAAGGACAGCATCTTTAGTACACTACAAGCAAATGGTTAACGCACTCCTTTCATTCGGAGACACTCTGTGATCCGTGACCGAAAAGAAACGGCTGTGACGGTACCAAAAGAAGATGTCTATTTGTCAGTCCCTTTTAAAGGAGATGTTCCCTTCGAGTTACTTAACAAGACCCTTAAATGCAATAGCTAAGTCATCCCCTGCTGCCTATTCGCATGTGATTGATCAAACTGCCCCGTTTATTACCCATCGTCTAAGGGATAAACTCCCGGACCAATCGGGATCCTTTATCCTATATCAATTTACTTGTCCCTGTGACGTAGGATACCTAGGACACACGACCAGACGCTTGGTGAAACGGATTGCAGAACATTACCCAGCAGCATTGTGGAAACACATGGTTAGAAGCAGCAATAGCTCTATATTGGAACATTTATTCCAAAGCGTGCATCAAGTTGTGACCAAGGAAGCCTTCCGTTTTCTACATCGTGTCAAACCGTACCTAAAAGGACTTCGAAAAGGTCTACTAAGAACGGCCGAGGCCATTGCGATCAGGCTAATGTAACCTGAACTGTGTAAGCAGAGGACGCTATTGCAAGTACTTCTGCTACCGTGGACGTGATCTCAGTGTGGACACCGTTCACTTCATCTGCAATTGTCATCGTCCTCCCATCGGACGGAGGAACCGCCTTGTTTTGTGCGCATATGAGTGTGTAACCATATGTGACCATCCCCCACGATTAGAGAGTCTGATCGACGAACAAAGCAGTCTGTGTAAAATTGACCAACCCTAGCCGAGCTATCATAGCCTATTGCAATGCTTTAACCTGTTTTATATCTATGTATTCGCCTGACGAGAATTCGCGAAAAATTTCTTCGCTAAATTGAATATTTGGGATTTGCTGTTAGTATTATACGAAACGATTGTAAAAAAATATGATCTGATCGAAAAGGGAATGTCTCGTAAACAGGAGAAGATACATTTTTATTATTATAATAATTAAACTGGAGATAATAAAAGATTGGTAATGTGGGTCGATAGGAGTGAGAAACGTGTGGAAAACAAAGGAGGCATCAGCAGCGGCATGCTTTCGCCTAACCGCTCCGCTATACGCAACAAATAAGGCGATTTTTTTTACTGCTGCACAACGGCCGATGCAGGATGTGGCTGGTGTTTGCTGAAATGGCCATGGTCGTACATGCCTTGCAATACTGTTTGTTAGGACGCCCAAATCTAGAGAGGAGTGGTCAATATGCTCGGCTAAAGCCTTCCGTTCAAAAGCCTGGTCACAAGGCAGCGAGGATGTGGCAATGATTGGGTTTTACACAAATGGACGCCATCCCATTGCCAAACATCTAACCTAGAGAACCAATCGAGTGGGTTTATCAGACTCCTAACCATTGATGAACCCGGCTCTCCAGGAGCACCGTTCAGTACAGCTTAATGGCTCGAAGAGGTACGCAAACCGTCGGCACTGCGTTAAAGCCCCGTCTGATTTCGACCAGAATAAATGCACAGTGTTGACTGAGTTAAGGGACCGGCATTTCAGAGCAACATCAGTAGTTCGGGTGTGGACAATGAAGTGACATAAAAGCTCCGAAATAGATAGAATAGAAGTGCGGTGGCCTTCCGTTGTTGGGGCTAATAGTTGAGGCACATAAAATGACTCGTTGACAGAATAACGATCCGAATGTTCGTAGCAACATTACGAATAAAATATAGGAACTATAAGGTGGCTAACAGTGATAAAGGCAGTATACAACCAGATTGGGTTACAGAATTAGAAGCTGTTGCCGAAACGAGTAAGACCATCCATATATGGTAACAAAAACATTAAAGACAGAGCAAATAGGTTGAACTCAAAAAAAGCATGTGTCGACACAAGATCAGACCATTAGATCTGTCCAGTATACTGCTGATTAACCTACCAAAACAAATCTGGGGAAATAATAATAAGGAGATAGTATCACAAAGACAAAACAAGGAAGTGATGTGGAGAAAAGGAATTTCGGACAGATTCGTGACTATAAAGTCTAGTCAGTCAGCCTACTGTACTGACTTAACAACAGCGCGTATTGCTCTCGAGTGCTATGGGGTTTCAAGCTTGTCCACATATTATGAGACATCAACTGGAAACACTGGGGCATATGAGACAGTCGCGGCAAGACTGTGATAGAACTGTCGAATGGAATGATTGTTTGATGACTTCAACAACTGCAGATCGTAGAAAGAGAGGAATGTAGTAAAACATGGCAGGGAAAACAAAATTTAACGGATGCACAAGTCACTACTTCTATGGGGGTCCGAGTAACCAGTGACGTAGCTATGAAGCAAGAGGCTACGATGTGGACGGTGAAGAGTGTTCATGGAGCCACACCCATAGCAGCCAGAAATTAGCATGGAAATATCGACTGGAAGTATTAAATCACCGGAACAAGTCACTCACACGGTGTAGTTCTCTACGACACCCATCCGTTGCAAGGCCATCAAACGACTGTATGGGTTGGAGTCGACAACTTCTGCGCTGATCTGGTCGATTTTTGGGCGCATCACACGAGTGGCAGATAATTCAGAGCGCATATGGGTGAGTTCTGCTTTCAGCACCTCAATCTCAGAGCGCAGATTGCGATTGGTCTGGCGCAGCGCCTTGCTGTTCGAAGGCATTACGAAAAAACCTGCAACTACGGAAAAAGCAAGAGGAATGAACGGGGAAAGCAGAGAATGTCCCACGAAAAATGTAATCAACAGAGGAGTACTGTCTGAGCGTGAGCGCGCTATTGCGTGCCGGACGCAAAATTGAAAGTGCATGCGGCATTTCTGGAATATGCAAGCCGATGGAGATAGGAACCATATCCGGTGGGGAAACCGGGATTGCAAAATGGCCTTGCAATACATTTTTAACGGTATAAAGTGAAAATGAAAGACATTTGTCACACACGACCCAATGACGAGGGATAAAAAACTGCACACCTAATACAGAAATGCTAAAAGCAAACGGGCCTACCAAGGTCCAAAATGTCATTCGTTAAAAAATGCGCAGGAACATGTAATAAAATTCATATCGATGACCTGAATGCAAGAATCCGGTATCAGGAGATAAGGTAAAAACGGCAGATTAGTTGAGCTTAATAAGGATCAAACATATCTTTCAGTAACTGTCATATGAATAGGCAAAGCAGAAATATGCCAAATGAGAATGAGTATAACCCGAATGAATAGCTTTTATTCAGCAGGAAACTGAGGTCGTTGTGTTTCCCCTGATAGTACGGATACCCGATGCAGCCACTCTGGTCACGATACAGCCCCTTCCAAATCAGAAGACAAAGGCCTCTGGCGGAACTAGTATGGGGCACTTGGGAGACAGAATGTACAGGCATAATATGTGGTCAAAATAAATAGTTCATGAGAGAAAGACCTAAGTGAAAGTTCCTGACGATAGCAACTACTAGATGTGCAAAAACTCGCTTGTTGGCTGATCAAGTAGTGTGCATACTGCAGGGCTTCAAGGAAGGTGATTCTGATTGGTCCAGCTCAAGGTAAAACGATACAATTGGCTTACTCGCATTGGCTAACAAATCGGCTACAGGCGGCATACCACTAATCATCTCCGGGCTGCTCCAGACAGAGAGAGTTAGCCTCGAGGGCTGCTATGGACGGGCCCCAATAACACCTCCCTCGCGAAAAGTGACGTACGACTTCCTCCTGGGGTCCAGCTGCATTCTGACCATGGACCTCCGTATCCGATCAGTTCATCGCCGTGACTGCAAGCTGGTTCCTTTTGTGGGCAAGGCTCATTAGGTGGACCCTGACTTCCAGGGTGTATATCGGAATTGTTCAGCAGAATATCCAGTGGCAGCGATCGTTCCCTGGTAGCAATCAGAATGCTGGTAGGCCGCAGCTGGTTTGCATGTCTGGTCCAAAGTACAGAACCCACTCGAACTTTATACAGCACTTGTCCAAGTCTGCAGTCGATCGAGCTTGTGGTCCGGTGTGGTCTTCAAGGACGATAGTCTATGACTAAAACACTCTGTCCTGGGTAAAATAGACGTAGTCGCGTCCTGTGCCGCTGATTCAAGTAATTTCCCATTCTCACATTCCTCTATTGCGGAGCGATACGCATTGGAAGCAGCAAGGAATTCAGAATACGGAGGTTCCTGCCCATGAGCGCTTCTGCTGGGGACAGCTGACTTGATACCTGGGGGTTCGAAGTTGATCTGTACAGTAGAAGGAAAACGTCCAATATCTCTTGGGTAGTTCCTTCCCCCTCATCTTCATCAATGTCCGTTTAAATGTATCAACAAAGCGCTCAGCTTGCCCATTGGACTGCGGGTGGAACGGCGGCGAGCATAGGTGTGTGATACCGTTCTGCGTACAGTATTCGGGGAACTGCAAAGGTGCAAACTGAGGGTCAATGTCAGTAACCAGGGTCTCTAGTATTATATGTTGCGCGAAAAGTCTTCTCAGTACGCCAAAGGTTGCGCCACTTGTTATGCGTTCCGTGCAGAACACTTCCGGCCACTTACTGAAGGAATCCACAACAATGAGATACTGTTGTCCATTCACTGGACCAAAGAAATCCGCGTGTACTCGCTGTCACAGTTTCGTTGACAACGGCCAAGAAGACAATTCCGCTTTCCTAGGCGCCTTGCTTACAAGCGTACATTTCGGACAGGATTTCGCTAGCTGTTCCAGCTCCGAGTCGATATTCGGCCAATAAACGTAACCGCGCAATCATTTTCATTCTGTTAATGCCAGTGTGTCCACGATGAAACCGTCGTAGAATTCGTCGGCGAAGCTCACTAGGGATAACAACTCTCCGCCAAAAGTAAACAACCATTGACGACGGACAATTCGTCTTTTCTCCGGAACAGGCTCTGCCATTCCCCAGTTAGATTGTCGTTCGGCCACTGTGTAGTATGAAATCTGACCGCTTGTTGTAGGACAGGATCCCGCATTGATGCATCACGTATCATTGCAAAAGTTACCGGAAGTTCTCTGAGCGTTTCCAACAACACCTGATTCACTTCCGACTCCAGAGAGATCGCTGCAATGATAGATACTTCTTGCTGGCGCTGCTGACTTTCCAATAACCGGGAAAGTGCATCAGCTTGACCAATGTCTTTTGTAGAAATGTGCTTCACCCTAAAGTCGTAGCCGAGTAATGTAGTAGTCCACCGCTGCAACCTGTTTGCCGTATAGAGAGGGATACCCGACTTTGATCCGAAAACTGCTGAAAAGAAGCATAGCAAATTTGTGAAAAAGAATAAGACGAAAGTGATTGTGAGTTGTATGTCATTCTCCCCAAGCTGGTGTTTGAACAAGGAAGTAAGTGAATAATTCTAAATCTCGCAGTAATGCAAACAGTAAGCACGCGTTCTTTGTTGTTGCTCGTAAAGATGTGAAGGGTCAGGTGAACAAGGGGGCGATCTGGAGTACGTCAGCGTCGGTTGCCGTATGAGTGATTATTTCGTTGGGGATGTCTGTGGGAGATAGAAGAATCCCTGGATTGACACAGTCCGGTTGCTGCCAAGTTGTGTAGTGACACAGTGTCTTCCTTTCCATCGGGAAATCGAATGTGAGCGTACCGGGGAATGCAAACCAATAGCACAACCTCATCCACTAGCGGCTCCTATCTTGAGGATCTCATATTACGACGCAGTATGACAGATCCTGGCACACAGCCAACTCGGTAGCAAGACCCTTGATGCCGATTTACGGTTTCAACAGAAAATTCTTTCATGAGGAGTGGCGTTGCAAGGAAGGTAGACAAATGAATGTAGAGCATCTAGCAAAGAGATGTGAGTGCAAGAGTAATCGATTTTCAGATGACGCTATTACTCAGCGCCACTTCTCTGTTACCTTGGAGGTTACATGGAGTCGTCCGACTGACTGCAACGCCTTTCTGCGTGAGACAATGTCGCACTGCTTTTGACATGAAGGATGAACCGCGATCATAATGTATGTAGAGCGGAATAAAGAAGATGGAGAAAAGTTGGATTAAACAATTAATCACGGTTGAGGCTATCATGCCACTATATGCAAAGGAAAATGGGAATCTAAAAATTTCATAGACAATGGTGAACAAATATTTGTTGTTTGTTGATGAGGACAAAGGACCCTTGAGACCTAGATTTAGTCGATCGAAAGGCTTGTAAAAACGGGGTTTCAGTTCGACACATATGCTGCACTGAGATGTCATTGATATTACTTCCACAACTGAGAAAGGCAGATACCGTGAACGAATCAGAAGAAACATTGTAGCGACCCCTGGGTAACACAAGGTGTTATGCAGTTCCTGGAGTGTCAGGGTGTGACTGTGACGAACGATTTGTAGACGATAAAACGTCGGCAGCCACGTTAGTTTTTGCCATCAGGCAGACCAAATCATAATTGTAGCAGGTGAGTTCAATACACTGACGCTGAATTTGATCATTTTACCTCTTTGATCGAAGTTGAATATGAGCGAGAAGAAGCGCTTATCTGTAATAAACGTGAAGCGATTACCGATGAGATAGTGGTGCCATTCTAGGGCTGACTCTACGATGGCATGTGCCTCTTTTTCGACAGTAAAATGGCGCCACTCGCTAGGAGACAGCGTGCGCGAAAAGGAGACTGGTGGTTCGTTCTGTGTTAGCACAGCAGTAATGGCCATGTCACAGACGTCCGTCTCAATGACTAAGGATACTAATCCGCAAATAACTTCTTTTTTTCTGTTTCACTGTTAAACGATTCCCGAACCGAAGTAGGGAGAAGGAAGCATCGGTTGTCGATTAGAGGGCGGCTTTTATCGAAGAAGTGGGAGGTCCACGAAAGATAATAGGCAAAAAGACCTGCAACACGTTGCTGCGACTTGACGTCGGTGGGCGCAGGGAGGGATCTCAATGGCTGAAACCGGTGTGGGTCCGGTCGTATAACCTAATGGAAAGCTTCATAACCCAAATAGTCGTATCTTATTCGAACGAACAATGTTTTAGTTTAGGTTGAAGGTTAGGTAGTACTTTTGATCGACTTAGTAAAATTTTGCCATATTACAACTGTGTTCATCCTCGAATGCCCCGCCCACTGTTATGTTATCCAGGTAAGCGGAAGTCGCTTTCAAGTTTTCTTCGGTTATTATCTCATCAATAATTCTTTGAAAATAAGCTACCCCGTTGCTTACACCGAAAGGCATATGACAGAATTGGAAAAGATTTCTGCTTGCCTCAAATGCCGTGAATTTTCTTTCCGTATCCTTAAAAGGCATTTAATGATATGCGCTCTTCAGGTCCGAGGTGTTGTACATCGCCCCGCGTCACAGTGGGTCTCCGCGGTCAAAGAAGTTCCGCCCCCCCCCCCAAAACCAGCCAAAAAGATCAATGACATAGGTTTCCTGGGATAAAGACGCTGTTCTGTTAATGGACTACCTTTCTCAGGGCTCCAGTATTACCGGATAGTATTATGCTAACTTAATGGACCAGCTTAGCGAGGCGAGCAAAAGAAAACAGCGTGAAAAGCTGATAAAATACAATCTTTCCTTTCAGAACAATGCACCTACACACATCCAATGCTGCCGGTGTTTCCAAATGGTCCATAAACCCCTACTCTCCTGACCTGGCCCTGTCAAAGTAATCTCTTCCCGAACTTGAAGAAACATCTTAAGGGGCGACGCTTTGAAGATATTGCTGACGTCAAATATGCGCTGAAAGCTAGTCTGAGGCACAAACAAATGAATTGCACCTGACCGGTCTAGAAAAACCGCAAATACGCTGTACCAAGTGCATCAGTCTCAGGGATGAATGTGTTATATAAGTGCCATTTCATGACTCGAGTTCCCTTCATTACAGTCAAAGCCAGGAACTAATCAGCACCCCATCGCACTTACACTTAATTGATTTTAAGATTCCTGTTGCCGTGTA